AACTCGTGCATACAAATTTCTACAACTTTTAGTCAATTTTTACCATTTTTAGAAAAATCGTAAAAATTGATGCACTTTATGCACCCGCAATGCAGTTTCGATCCAGCCCCAAAATGTAATATATAGACTTTTTTCCTGATATTTTTCCGAAGACAATGCCGAAAACCGCAACTCGAACGGTTCGTCAGAAAAAAATTTCCGTATTCTGGGTGATTTTGTTCTAACTTGCCTGGACTAGTTTGGCAGTTTTGACGCAAAAATGGGATCAGGAATAAAAAATCGAAACTAGCGATGATAGACCTCTTAAAACTTAAGAGCTCAAGCTCTCACGATATTTTTTTTCATCATTCTGAATATTCTCGATATATCTTTCAAAAACAAAATAGTCGATTTTTTTGGCCCAGTCTACCCTACATGTCCCTGCTCTGTGTCGGTTCTTACGCGAAACACCTTGTATATCTAAAATGAAAGCTTCTTTAAATAATTAAAATAAGTTGCCAACAATCTCAATAGTTGAGGATATCTGGATATAAACTACAGAAATCAAAACATAATGAAGATTTTTTAATCGAATTTAAAAAATCGTATAAAAAAAATTATGTATTAATGGATATGGCTGCTCATTTAAAGCAGTTCTCATTCAACACTTCTTCCAATACACACACCACAATTCCAATACTATCAAATGCTTTTTTAGGTTATTTTATAAGACATAGCCTTGCCTCAGGATGTCCCGTGATTTATGATATGCTTTCTTAAAATCCCTACAAATTGTTATTTTAAATTAAATTTAACTTTTTAATAAACAATGTTTTTAACTATAAAAAATATCTCAATTTTTTTCTTTGTCATCATATCTCAAAAACTGCGAAAAACAAAAGCAGATTTATTAGTATGAAAATTGAGAGAGAAAGGTATTCGTTCCACTAAGATGAAAATTGAAAATGTCGGTATTCGAAAAAGGATATTGGACTCGACCTTACAAATGTAAAATATTTTTGTCCTAAATATAAAAGTGTTTTTTTTAACGACACGCCATAATTTTCATGTTCCAACTGAAGGCCTCCTTAAATTAGGTACCGAAAAATAATTCAAACATTCATAACTTATCAGAGGAATATTTAAGGCCAAAATAAATTTAGAGCTGCGTAGAGGACTTATTATAGAGGCTTTCATCTTAGAAAGAATATGTCCTACATTTTTTATTTTTTTAATGAACGATGTGAAATGTTTAGATCCAAAACAGCTCTTGAAATGTCGTAATTATTAATAGTTTTAAACCACCATAATTTTGTACGATCTTTAATATGTGAGACACCTTTGTTTTTCCATACACACTAAGTTTCCGCCTTAGATTATGTATACGAACTAATAAAGTAAAATGTCTCAAGTGTTTTGTTTACATATCAAAAACATGCCTTAATTTTCCGCCATTCTCTATTATGCGAAATTATTTTTATATGAATAAATGTTGCATTTTCCACAAAGTAAATAAATTATGTAAGACATAACAAGAGTCTTAAAAATACATGTATAGAAAATATAATTGTAATTGTAAATAACAATAGTTTTCAAGATTTTAAATGTGGAATTGTACAAATATGACGTAAATGTTAGTACCAAATATGCAGAAAAGAGATTTTATGCACTACAGCTAGATCAATCTTCATTTTCATTTTCTTTAATTCACATTTTCCCTTTTAAACTAAAATATACTAGTAAAAACTTGTTTCTTACAAATGTATCAAATTTATAAAATGTTGTACTATACATATATTTTAGATAGGTACCTGTCTTTATACACACGTCTTTATTCTATTATTGAATATTATTACTATGTGTTATTATTGCTTATTATTATTATTATTATTATTATTATTATTATTATTATTATTATTATTATTATTATTATTATTATTATTATTATTATTATTATTATTATTATTATTATTATTATTATTATTATTATTATTATTATTATTATTATTATTATTATTATTATTATTATTATTATTATTATTATTATTATTATTATTATTATTATTATTATTATTATTATTATTATTATTATTATTATTATTATTATTATTATTATTATTATTATTATTATTATTATTATTATTATTATTATTATTATTATTATTATTATTATTATTATTATTATTATTATTATTATTATTATTATTATTATTATTATTATTATTATTATTATTATTATTATTATTATTATTATTATTATTATTATTATTATTATTATTATTATTATTATTATTATTATTATTATTATTATTATTATTATTATTATTATTATTATTATTATTATTATTATTATTATTATTATTATTATTATTATTATTATTATTATTATTATTATTATTATTATTATTATTATTATTATTATTATTATTATTATTATTATTATTATTATTATTATTATTATTATTATTATTATTATTATTATTATTATTATTATTATTATTATTATTATTATTATTATTATTATTATTATTATTTAGTTTCTCACGATATTATCTATCGGTTTCCTTTCTAGGTTTTTACACAGATGTTTAGATTTCGATATGCATGCATGCCTCATATTTTTACCCAAGAGAAATAAAATTATACGTGTTTATACAGAGTGAGTCAGATTAGATCTGAATAACTACGAAGTAATAATACTAATACTTGAAAAAATAGTGACTTTATGGTTTTTCACTTTTCTGGTAGCGGCAGATATAGGTAACGCGTACTATAAATTTGAAAAAAATAATAATATAGTCCTGCGTTGAATTACATTGCATTAAAAACGCATTTTCTGACGCAGATTTTAATTCTAAAGAAAATTTATTCTTGAGTTTTTCTTAATCTGTGTTTCGAAGAAAATCACATTTTTCTAACAAAATGTGCTAGGTATGGTCTTTGTCCGTACTGGATATATTATGAAAAATATTTTTTTTTAGTACTACATATGCTGAAACGATATATTATACAGGCTGTCTACTATAAGAGGGCTATTACTATGTATCTCGCTTAATATATAACGCTCGTCAAAAATCTTTTTATGTTTTTTATTGCATTTTCTGAGGCCTTTATGCTTGTGAAAACAAATTTGAGATCCATGGCCAACTTTGTGAATAATTATAAAAAAATTTCATGGCAAAATTAATATATTTCACCTAGTGCAAACAGATTTAAGTATTATGTAATTTGCTACGCCCTCTATACTGGCAAAAAAAAATTGTCATCGAAGCATTCTATGGCTACAAAAAATTGCTTGTGTTTTCCTATTTCATGCGATATACTACAGATTGCCTTTATCTTTTATATTTATTACATATTTTACAATTTTGGTATAAAAAATGTAAACATTTTCCTGTTAACGTAGAAATTGTTATATACATGTCAACTGCAAAAAATTTAATGAATATAATGTACATCTTTTAAGCAAAATACAGACTTTCTTTTCACATTATTTTATAATATTGGCTTTTTACTTTAGAAAAAATTGAGCCTTTAACATTGGTCTTGCACAGACAAAGCAGCTTACGCTAAATGTAACACGCTATGAAAACAAATGTGTTATCCCAGTAATGTTACCATTTAAAAAATTGTTTATTGTTATAGTGTATACATAACTGTTGATTTAAAAATTGTTGCTGTTCATTTTAAATAATAACGATATTTTCACATATTGAGAAATGTAATATATTGAAAACCTTCGCCGATATGGATATCTTAAGAAGAACTAGGCAATAAAATAAGGTGTTGTTAATAAAATAGGTTATGTTAACAGAATTTTAAATTATGTAAATAGGAAAAATGAGAATAAACAGTGAGAGATTGAAGTAAACTGCAATGTAGAGAAGGATATTACGAAAAATTGGTTCCAAATGTTATAAGGCGAAAAAAGTGCATCTCTTGATGGAAGGTAAACCGAGGAGATTAGGGTTCTGTAAGTAGTGACAAGAAAGAAAAATTTTTTTATATGCAGAAGAATCACCTGGTCAGATGTGTCTAATTTTTGCAACAATGGATTTTTTGATGGACTAATGGTAATTTACATTGGCACGGATAAACTGCATTTCAACAAAGGTTATCAGTAAACGTTCGGATTAGAATTGTTGATACCAAAATCATAGGATCTTACTTCTATGATGGGTGCCAGATATTGCACATTCTTTGTTTAACAGAAATACATTATATTCATTAAATTGTTTGTAGTAGGCATGTTTAAAACAATTTCTACATTAATCTACATTTTTGATACTAAAATTATAAAAAATGTAATAAATATAAAAAATAAAGGCAACATGTACATACGATACTTCAAAAATTTGTTTACACTAGGTGAAAGATATCAATTTTGCCATGAAATTTTATTAAAATAAGTTTTCTCTATCTCTTAAAATCAAAAAGTTAGACGGCCCTAAACTTTCTGTACTTTTCCGGTTTTTTATGATTACTCACAAAGTTGGCCATGGATCTCTTTTTACGAGCATCAAGGCCTCAAAAAATGCAACAAAAAACATATAAAGAATTTTGACTTGCATATGTAGGAGTGGCCCTCTTATAGTAGACAGCCTGTATACACATAGCAAATTGCATATTGCACACATTATCTAAAATTATTAAAAAAAAGTTTGGAAAACACCTTTCTAGAAAAATAATTGTAAGCTGAAAATTTCATATAATACATTTATTATGACGCTGAGTGTAACTTGTTCAATTACTAGTTGCATTATATAGAAAATTCTATAAACATTTTTTTTATGAATCTCGATACATTCACGAGAGACCGGCCCACATTTATGGTATTCTAACTGTATTCGCCGCATATTATACCTGTATTAAACAAATGTAAACAAACATAAGGGTGAGGTAATGCATATACCGTTATAACGGGATTTATTATGATTATGATGCAGAAATAACGGTAAAAGAAAGTAAATGCAATGGCAAGATAACAAGGACATTACTCAAGTCCTTTAGACAAACATTATTCGAAGATTAGATGGTGTAAGTGAAGTGGTACAGTGCGCCTTGTTTATTTGCAAATTAAATGCAGTGAATCTTCTAGTAGTTATTTTCAACTTCTTATATTGTTTTAGTAAGTATACTCAAAAATATACCTATATGAGTTACTATTTCTTATAAATTATTAATATAATATATCACTATACATAAAAAAATTCATCACCTTAAATGTATATGCGTTAAAATATTTTATTAATGATTTAAGTTAACAGATATTAGTAAATGCACTTATTTATATCTAGATTACTTTCTACAGAAAATTCATTAGTAATCAAAAATTAATCAGAAAACGACATGCGAAGATAAACGGAAATACATCAAACATTTTAGTCGGTACTTTTGAAAATGTGGAAAATTAAAACAAAATAATAAAAACTTGTGAAATTAGCAACATTGTAAACAATTTTTTCTAATAATATTATTAGAAGGTTCCAAAAAAATACATTTTGATTTACATTAGAAATTATGTCACTGAATACGTTATTTTTTAAGTTAAAGCATACAGAGAAGTGATAAGTAACTCAAATTTTTCAGAAATTGATTAATGATTTCGCTAGATACAAAATAGGGTCGTCGGGATTTTCACGACAACGAAAAGAAACATTGCTCTGACACGTTTTTTTTTTACAATTGTGACCACAAATTGTAATATATAGGGATTATAGTGTGTGCTGCGATGAATTTTGGTGTAAGGCAAGAATCTAAATTGAAAGCTGAAAATTTGTGTACGGATGTACGAAATTTTCTCTTCAATGGAAATTTGGCTGCTTCCAGTTCCTTACTATTATGATTTTTGAACTTAGGACTTCATCTACCACACAAAAAACGTTATGGAGATTATTTTAGACCATTTCAGCTGTCAACAAACAGTAAATATCTCCGAAACAGTTGAGTTTAGCTGTAGAAGTATGCAACATGCTTTTTGTTAATAGTTTTGTAGTTGCTCCAAATCTGCTCCAATATGAAGGCTCTTCCATTTGAATAAAAAAGAAGTGGAAAACTATTTATGGTATAATGGTAAGGAATCGGAAACATTTTCATTAAGGGGGTCGTTAATATGCGTGATTTTCAGTGAATTTATAACAGTCTTTTGACGAAGTTTTAGAAGATCTAAACAAGTTAGAAACAATATCTCTTCACTGTACCAGTGACAATACATTCAGAATAAGGAAAAAAGAATATTTTTACTTGTATCATTACATTTCCTGAACTTTATGCACCTGTTGAATATATAGAAAATCGCGTATACACCCCGCAGAATGCTTTTATGACACATGAATTAATCATAATTATTGAATATTATTAACAAAATTCTCGACAAAAGGGAAAGGTACAGTCCGATGTTTACATTGGTGCCCATATTCTCCGTGATCTTTAACTGTGAAAAATTAAAAGAATGCTTGTATTTCAACAATTTTGTTGTTTAGGTGGATTTTCTTGTCCTATCATTATCTTACTAATATATTTCTAAATATACGTGGTCGTGGCGCATCCTGTATGAGATATTGAAGATAAAAGGACCATACTGTTATACAAATTACAATAAATCGGTAGGTACCTATTAAATCAAAATGTCAAACTTGTTTCGACTAAATAGGAACAGTTAATCATCTTATTTAGTAGTCATCCTGTTTAACTACAACAATTATAACTTTGGATATTTTATACACTCCTTTTACTTTTCTAATAGAAAATTTAAAGTATCTTAAAGGCGCCATTCCCATAAAAGACTGTTTTTTACAAAACGAAAAATTTTAAACGTTTGACAATTAACAATTATACTACCCTAATTTCATAGTTTTTTCCTTATACTACCTAGGAGATGATAAAATTTTTATAAATTCCATTCTGAATAAGCAGACTCTGAAAACGAATTAATGAACTTATGCATAGATGCATCTTGTTTTTGACAGTAGAAAATGAAAAACAAAATTTCCTTTTATTTATTCAAATCAGACTGTCCTAACAGTTAAACAGTGGTTAAACAATTTTCATGCGGGTTGTTACGTCACTTAATCGGTTTAAGGCCGACATCCGTTTGTAGCGTATCTACGTATCCTATCATTGGGTATCAATGGATACTGTGGTATATTGTGGTCTTGTACATAATTATGGAGGGGAGTAAAGACGACAACTTCATGGAAACTTATCGGAAATATAAACTCATTTAGTATCCAAAACATCCGTATCGATTCATTTTCAAAAATTAATAAAAATGTACGCGGCTGCTGCTATTTATTTAAATGTACCTACGCATTGTGCGATGTAGGGTAGACGTAGAGACAAAAAAAGCTAAACTTAGGCGTTCAGCAAATGGTCGGAATAGTTCTGTCAAACTTCTTTAATCAAACAATTCGCTGAACGGCCTTTAGTAACTCTATTAAAATCTGCCCAATATTCCCAATCAGCTGATTGGGCTGACCAACGAAATATTTGTCCGCTGAACGACTTTAACTGGTCCAACCATTCGCTGAACACAGCCTTAGTTCCGTTAGTATCGTAATTCTGTTCACGCATTTGATACGGATACGCCGTGGTAGTAACGAGAATATATTGATACTGTGTTGCACTGTTTCGTCAATGAACGAACGGGAAGGGCTATACGATACGCGGAAACGCAACAAATGGATAGGTACTGACCTTTAGACCTGAAATAGAAAATTGCAAAGTTTTAAAAAGTCTTACCCTCAACCGTCGCCGTCGCCGCCGCCGCCGCCGCCGTGGTAGACAGCTTAGAAATTATTTAACAACTTTTTATTTTATAATTTTCTTACAAACATATAAACATCTATATCCATGAGAAAAAAAAAATAAAAATAAGCTTTACAAGAATTTGACTACCTATCAGAAGTAATAGAAAGAAGTATATCGATACCTTACCGGCAAAACATCATATGTAATATAGAGCAAAACAGCAGAAACGTTTTTTGAATAATTTCAGTAATTTTTCGTTGTAATCTTACAAAATTTGGTGTGCTCATTTTTTTCACATATTTTTTAAATAAATGAAATTTTAGTTTTGAATTTCTTTTTACCTTGTTGCGGCAGGCGCTTAAGATACTTTGCCGGTATCAAATATATCCAACAGTGAAAGTTTTATCATATGTGTGTATCATACGATGCTTTGTTAGTAATACTTTGGAACTTACGCTGTGCTATAATAAAACACTGTCATGTGATATTTTTTTTATTTTTTAATTCAAATACATAGAAACAACAAAATACAAAACAGTTTTTTCTTTGTATTGGTTTGGCAGAAGAGACAGTAGAATGATAATTTTTACAGAATTATTTATTTAATTTTTAGAATTAAGTTTCATTTTATCAGGCTTCTTGCTCTTCTACTTCATCTTTTTGGTCAGTTTCAGGTAGTGCATCGGGTATTTTGTCTTATATCAAAACTCTTGGTGATATTTTCTAGGAATTACATTTTTTATACAGAGATCTTCCAAATTTTTTTTCTTTATTGGAGTAACACATAATTTTTTAGTATATAGTTTTTTAGTCTTCAAACTGCCCTTGTTTTTGATTTGATTATTTTTATATCTGAACTGTCATACGAATAATAACGTTAGGATTATTCTTTTCCAAATAAACACTTCGAATTTGAGTAATTTTTATAGATTCTCCCTCAACTGACTTGAATGCATTAATTCTCGCATTTCCTATAATTGTTGCCCATTCAGATGGTGCCCACACGGTGCGGTTTTTAATAAAAAATAAAGCAAAATATTTCACTTAAATCAGCAAAGTAACAAAAAAAATGTCACTTACGTGCTTTTTGATTGTTCCACGTCACCAACACTAAAGTAGAAATGTCTATCGTAACTGACAAATAACTGTAACATGTGACTTGACGTTACGATATTCTACCGGTCCTTGATAGGCGTACGATATTTTCGTAAGTTATAAAAGATTTGGACGAAATATAAACGTCGTTTACGATAAAGAAATTTAGCGGTTTTTTGGCATTTTCACTTTAATTTTAGATACGATATTTTGCCAGTATAATCTTACACATAAGATAGCTCCAATAACAAAAAAAATGTCAATAACCTAATAATTGTCACTTACGATGTTTTGCCGGTATGGTATCGATATATTTTATCTCTTTTATTAAATTGTTTACAGGAATCATGGATGCGTATTAAAAAAGCTTAAATAAAAATTGAAAACTGAAGAATTTGGCCATTATTACTATTACCGTTACCAATACCATTCCATCACCATTACCATTACTATTAACATTACCATTACCATTACCATTGTAATTATCATTACCATTGCCATTACCGTTACCATAACCATTACCATTACCATTATCATTATAATTATCATTATCATTATCATTATCATTATCATTATCATTATCATTATAATTATCATTATCATTATCATTATCATTATCATTATCATTATCATTAT